TTTGCTTTGATAATCATTTTGAGATCTTGGCTTCTTTGGAAAAAAAAACACGAAAACCTTATGTCAGTTAGGATACACTCAATTTTCTCTGAAATCCGTATAAATAAGAATGTTCCTGAAAGGGTATCAGATGTTTCCAGGGCCAAATAATCTGAAAACTTTGATGTAATAATCCCTTAGCATATTTTGATTAATTTCCACAGCAGTAATTGGTTTAAATCAGTTCAGAAAAGCTTCACCAACACATTTCTCACTTTGCAATTTTGTCCTTTATATTTCTTAGTTTAAATATGAACTTTGTCTCATTTTTTAATTATTTAAGAAAATATAATACTGGAGATTATGCAACAGGCGTTCCTGCCCTTACTTCAATGCATCTCAAACGTGTGGTCCTGTGGAAACAGGATCCACCCTATTCCTTTGCCTGCTATCTCTGATTGGCCCCAAAGCACAACAGTTCATCTGTGGCAGAGGAAAGCATAACACACCCGTTTCTAACGAGGTGTGAAACGTTACCATGGAAAAAGGGAGCCGCATCACGTTAGGAGCTTTACGGACACTTTTCCATTTTTGTCAGTCCTCTGATTAACTTTAATAAGACTCCCAAGGTCTTGGTTTCTTTGTAACATTGGAGGGGGCCGGGAGGGCAGAGAGAGAGAAAGAAAGACAACAATTCAATTTCTTCTGACAACAGCAGATTTCTCATAACAGGGCTAAGCAGTACCTAAAGCATCAGAAGCCTTTAAAAATGTCTAATTCAAGCGGCTCTTCTCATGTAAAATGCTGATGTGCTAACTACCCTCATAGTAAGGACCCATCCATTACTCAGCCGTGATTACATCAGTTTACAAGTAAAAGTTCCCTCCAGGCCTCAGATCTTGCTTTCTTTGTCCTTTGAGGGTGGGTTGGTGAGAAACTAATTTCAACACGTGTGTTGAAATACTGACTTTTTTAAACGTGGAAATCATTCACATCAGGAGTAGAAATAAGAGGATCAACATTTAAAATCTAAACACTTTGAAGATTTAGACAAGTCATGTTAGAGATAACTTTATGATGACCTTAGTACTTTATATGAGTTGACCACAGCCAGTAAAACTTTCACACATCAACAGCTTAAAGCAATTAGGGAACATGAAAGAGAATCTCTCTAAATTCCCCAATAGTTCAATGCCATTTTCATCTGTCTCTCACTGCAATAAGGCTGTTAACATTTGAGGTTCCTTCCATATAAGAAAGAAAGATGGGAGAGAGGGAGGGAAGAAGAGACAGGGACTGTGGGCTCTCCCTACTATACCAATGGGACCCCTCATTTCTGCATCAAATGCCAGTTGCTGTCAAATTAGCCCAGATTACACATCGCTTCTCTTTTCTCCTTCCGAGCCCACACAGAAATTTACTTGTGACGCTCATCCCACTTTTCCTAATTTCCAACACTTTTGTGGAACTTTCTCAACTTCATTTCTTAAAATTTTGAAATCTCATCTTTTCCTACAAAACTCATATAACCACTTACCACTCCATTTGAAAAAAAATCAGCTGTAATAATGCTTGCACATTCACATTATAGTAACATGTTGTCAATACGCATTCAATGTCTGAATGGAGATTGTGATCGCCAACGCTTTTCATTAAACGGACTTTGTTCAGTGTTTTAAATCCGAGAATGTTAAGAAGGCATGCTGCCAAGATTGACTTGGAAAGCTAGAATACCCGTCTGTGTACAGATTGGCACAGATCAATGGTTTTTAAAGATAACCAGGACAATAGAGACAATTATGTTAGGAAGGCAAATTTAATGACTAACTGAATACAAGGTAAACGGCCAATCTGGAGAAAAAGCAGTAGAGACTCATAAATCCTTACCCTCTGTCATTCTTAATTGTTCTGGAGTTTTCTTTAACTAAATTGTCAAAAGTTTGATTTCTTTCAACATGAAAAATAATATCAGTAGTGTAGCTTACTTTCCAGTATATCAGTATCAGTCTAGAACTCTAAGTTAACCTCTTCAAATGCTATCCATTCAGTTACTGATTGCTAATTAACTCACTCTTTTTTATGATACAAAATAAATAAAAGCATGGCTCTTGACCTTGAGATGTTTACAAATATATCGGCAAGATATACATATGAAGTGACTCAATCAAGATTCCAATTGAAAAGGGTCTTAGTATCTTATTAGAAAAAGAAGACTTCAGCGGTGAGGAGCCATGCTCCCGGCATCAAAATGTCTCATAGTAAATATATTAAGTTCTCAAAGCAACCTACTGCCCACTACTTGTAACAGCCAGTTTGACATCTTTCACTTTTAGATACAAAAGGGAACTTGGAGATCATCTAGAGCGCACCCTTCATTTTATGGAATGAGGAAACAGAGGTCCTCCAGGGGTTGAGCAACTTGTCCAGGGTTCTGCAGATTGATGTTGGTGGCAGAGCCAGCATCAAGCTATCCACCCACCCCCTGACCCTGGTCAAGGGCCTGTTCCACCAGCCTGTCTGACTTTTGTCTTGAGCAGGAGGTCTCCCCCAGGAAATGGTATACAGTTTAGGACTCAATCAAACAAGCCTGTAAGAGTCTCAGTCAAATCTTACCCTTTGCCATCTTTGTCTGTCTGGGGATTCCCAAAGATGAGATTTTCAAGGCTTTTGGCTCTATAAAACACAAAGAAACTCAAATAAAAGATTGCATATTGAAATAAAATTGTCTGGTATCTTGAAAGGTCAGATACAGTAAAAATTTGTCATGAATTGCTCATTTACTCTTACTGAATAGAAGAGCAGAAATCCTTCTGGGCAATTATGTCTGAACTAAATGTACAATACTGAGTGCATGGCCCCATCTGCTAGTACATTTTATGCCAGAGGATATAACTCCCTCCCAGCTAATGTCTGAAAGAATGAAACAAGCAATCTGGGAGATAATATTTTCAGTTTCGAGACAGATGCACTTACCTTTTCTCTGTTGGCTCTGCCTTAAGATTTCCTCTGAAGAGACCATCAAGACCTTGATTTCTTTAAATGTATTGAATAAAAAAACCTCATCAGTGGTCATATAGGATACTTAACTCTTACAAAAACATAGATCAGTTTACATCTAAGACAGGAAACAGAAAGCTGGTTAGGAAAGGCGAGTCACAATTTTTGAAATCATTTTATGCCAACTAGGCTTTTCCCAGATTCAAATTTAAATTGCAGTGGACCTAGAGAAAAGAAAAGATAGAAACTGGGGATCCACAAGCCTAAAAGGTCCATGGATGTGCTTTTGGCATTCATGAAGTGATTTGTTTTTAATGTGAGCCAATATTTACAAAGCTGGCCACAACACCTGGAATTTCAGGATCTCCTGAAACTGTCCTGCATCTCTGGGCTCAGATTCTCTGTGGCAACATCTGCTGGAGCTGAGAAACAGCTGGGCACCCCCGACAGGGCACTGCCTCACGTTCCAGAGTCAGCTCCCTTCACTTATTTCTACCCGCCTGGCCTTAGCAGGCTGCAGAGTCTGAGTCTTAATACTGCCTCTCTTTATCAATAAGAGAACTGAAAGGCAGCAAATTGCAGTGAGTTGTTGACAGGCAATCATATAGATCATCATCGTCAGAACAGGGTATGGGAAAATCACATCTTTTGATCCTCAGATCCATGAGTGCATTTGACATTTGCTTTGTTCCTCCTTCTCTTTGGTCCCTGCCTGTTTTCATATGTTAGTAGCCAAGTGACAGAGAGAGAATAAAACTGCACAACCTCTAACACACACTTCAAGTAACATGATTTTTAAATTATGCAATTATAAATGACTCAAAATAAGGAGATAATGTTAACTAAGGTAATGAGGGTTTTTTGTAGTGGTTAAACTAAAAGCATTTAGTGACCAGACTCTGTTTACTTACTAATATGTTAGTATTTCAGGAACAGAAACGTGGTTATTTTTATAACTGCCTTACTAAACAATGGAGAACAAAAATCAAAGACACTTTAATATTATTATCTTTCAATTGTAAACCATTCATAATAATGATGAAATGGTGCTGATTTCTGTAAGCTTTTTATTCAAGATTTGTACAACACTTTAGCCCAGTATGTAGGTCCTCATGCTTGCATACTGAAAAGTAACAAAGTAAATTCAGTAATAAAGTGAAAAATAAATGTTTTAAAATCTTACCTGTTCAAGCTTTTGTTCATTTTGATGAGATTATCCAATTCTTCACTTTGGAGAAATGAAAAAATAATCTCACATCAGTAAAAGCCTGCCCAGGCTCAAGGGGCAGATTCACCTTAAAATAACTATTTCTGAGTTCTCTGAAGCTCAACATATATCCCACCTTATCATCCGTGAAAATCCTGTCTATCTTTCAAAGCCCTCCTCAAACACATTTTTCTCCAAGAAATCTTCCCCAGTCCTTTAACTGAACAGAGTCCTCTACCTTTTTGGAAGCCTGGCAGCATTTTGGATTTTTGTATCTCCTTTATGGTACTTACATAGCTGTACTTTGTAATGTTGTAATTACACACTTGTCTCACATTAATGTTCTTGCTCCTACACATACTATGCACACAAACGCACACATACCCCCACTTAAAATTTAGAACTGTATTTTATATTGGATCCTTTTCAGTATTTAATACAGTGTTTTTCACAGAGTAGATGCTTAATACCGGTTTTAATTGTATCAACAAATATACATACATTGACCAATTATAGATTCTAGCTTTGTAGAATGTACTTGCACAAAGCTGTTAATGGAAAACAGTCATTTACCTGTAAATCTGGCTTCCTTCCTGAATCCTACTCTCCTTCATTCCAGGTCAGCTAAATTTCCTCTCCTGTTTCCGTATTTGGGAACTCTGAAGACTGTTGGCTGCTTCCTCAGGAGTCACCTGTTCAAGCTAAACCCCTGGGTTCCAGAATATTCATTAGAACCCCATGAGCTCAACTGGCTCCCCAGAGAAGGCAGCCACAGGGGCTTCTTGTTCCTGTTGGCTCCTCAGAGCACGTCTCTCCTCAACTCTCCATCCCCATCGCCCCCAATTCTCTCGCCTTCCTCATCAGCTGTCCAGTTCTCAGTCTCACTTCTCCCTGATCCGTCCTCTAGAATCACACATTTCCACACTTTCTCAATGTTCCCCTTTCTTCATGAGTCATCACTGGTGTTGACCAGAGGACACGAGGCCAAGGTACTCAGGAGTTAGACACTCAAGTTCCCAAGTCGAGGACACCTGGATTCCAATCCAGGATTCACTGCTTATTAAGTTGGTGACTCTGGGTGAGTTACCTAACCTCTTGCTGCCAGTTTTTTTCATCTGTAAAATAAGAATACTCATTGTATACACTTCAGAAGAGAACCAGTTTAAGTTAATGAATATAAAGTGATTAACACTGACACCTGGCAAGTCAAACTTTCATTTAATTAATTTTGGCCATTATAATAAACAGTTCCCAGTCAGTATTAACTTTTGCATTTAATAAATGCTTGCTACATTTATTTTTAAGCTGAATTTAGAGGCACCAAGATTTTGGCTCAGCCTTAGAGCGGTAAGGTCTCTGAGTCACTTATGTGCTTGGAAGATGCCTGGCACAAGAGATCACCAGAATAGCTGCTGGGACAGTCCTCTTAAGGATCCTAAAAGCACATTCAATCAACAGCCATCACAGAGATGAATCCTTTAAAGTAACACTGCGTAGTCAATGATAGGGTTGAAGGCTGGGAATAAATATTGAAACATAAAATTTGCTGACTCTGATGAAAAATTGATTAACATTCTATCCTCGTGGGGACCAACACTACCCAGCCCCTTGACACAGTGCTGCACTGTTACTTCTTGCTTGAATTTCTGCCTTCCAACTCTGAGGCTGCAAATGTCCACGTCCCCAAGACAAAGAGCAAACCCAAGAATCTTGTAAATTTTAGCCCCATACCTTTCTGACTGGTATGAGCCACAATGATAAGATTATCAGGATTTGGGGTTCCACAAAAAAATTAGCACAAGTCAGGAGAAGACACTCTGTGGGAAATTAAGTAAAATGGAAATTGCATTCTGAACAAAGAAGCTGAGCTTTTCAAATGACCTGAAACTGATGAAAGCTTTGGATATTAAGTTTCACCACTGCATTTACAATAAATTAAATGCTTTTAGTCAGATAGAAGTAATAGTCCATTTCCCAAAGGAGTATCACAAAGAGTGACTTGGGTAAATAAAGCTATTTTTAGTCCCAACAGACAGCCCACAGTAACAATACTCAGCTATCAATGATGCAACAGACATATCCCCTGGCCCCTGTCAAAGCAACAACTTCTCCCCATGAAGAATCGATGTGGCTGTGGAATTCGTGCATCATCGTGAGGGAGAGGGGACAGGAAAGTTAAAACAGCTGCAGCTCTCACTGGTTTTGTTTGATGGATGCCAAACCATAACTGTCCTTCAGCATCACTCACCTACCTCTCCCTTAAAGAGCCTTATCACCCACCAAAAAACTATCTAGTCTCTATTAAAAAGAAAACATTCTTTCAAACATAAATAGATAGGTAGATAGATAGATAGATAGATAGATAGATAGATAGATAGATAGATAGATAGATAAAATGAGAGATCTAGGCCCTTAGACAACAGAAGAAATGAAAATGAAACATTCGGGATAATTTCTACCATCTCTGTCATGGATTTAGAGCCTTTATTTTGTGCCTGAATTTGCAGAGAAGAGCTAAATGTCACTTCTTGTTTCTTCTCTTCAGTCCTTTTGATTGAGACTGCAGTCCCTAATAACACTCTCAGCGCTGCGAAATTCCACTGAGCAAGGGAAATTCTCGTAGGCGTGGGACTGAAACTACAGGATATTTATACTCAGGGTTTTCTCACTACTCATAGACACTTCTACTTTGCACAAAGCATTG